AACCCTGGATTAGAAAAAAGAAAATGCGGGACACCTGGGTGGCTCAGTCAGTTAAGCATCTGCCTTCAGCTCAGGTCATGATCCCGGGGTCCTGGGATTGAGTCCCGCATCGGGCTCCCTGCTCAGCGGGGAGCCTGCTTCTCCCTCTGCCTGCCGCTCCCCCTGCTTGTGCTCTCTCTCTCTCTCTGACAAATAAATACTTTAAAAAAATCTTTTAAAAAGAAAATGATTACCAAATAAAAATCTCAATAGATAAGGCAAAAAGCAGAATATATTCAACTGAAGAGCGGTTATGCTAGCTGGAAACCTAAATTACACTCAGAATGAGAGATGGTATATGGGGGCTGTGGTCCACCACCCAGATCCCTGCCAGGGACCCACTCATTCTGCCACCTGTTGGCTACTGGTAGCTCACAGCCAAGTCTCTCTCCAGGAATTAACCTCGGGAAAGAGAATTGCTTTGCCCAAATTGATGTCCTTTCCTCAAAGGCACACAGATCCCCTTGCTTGGATTCAGGACAATCTGAAGGGTCATCCCAGCCCCAAAACTCCCTGAACAGCCATCTGAGGCCTTTGTTACAACTGCAACACAGCTCAACTTCTCCCTCTACCCTACCCTCCTTATCTTTCCCTCCCAGATATTGTCTCCTAGAGAACTTTAGCAATAAGCCTTCTGTCTGCAGATCTCCATCTCAGCATCTGTTTCCAGGTAGCCCAATCTAAGGCAGACAGAAAGAATAAAAACAAAAAGACCTGAAGACATCTAGTGTGTCTCCATCTCTATGATTGGAATTTCAGCAGACAAGAACAGAGAATGGTGACTAACATGACATAATAAAATAAAAAAAAGAAATTTAAAAAAATTTAAAAAAAAAACAGAGAATGGAAGGGAAGGAAAAAAATCAAAGAACATATAAATAGATTTCCCAGAATTGATGAAAGATACTGATATTGAAAAAGTCCACCAAGTATTCAACAAGATGAAAAGTAAAATATATAAGATATATACAAATATATATTATATATAAATATATATAAATATATATTAAAAATATATAATATATATATTAAGAAAGTGACTTGCATGGGGAAGCTTGGGTGGCTCAGTCAGTTAAGCATCTGCCTTTGGCTCAGGTCATGATCCGAGGGTCCTGGGATCGAGTCCTGCATCAGACTCCTTGCTCAGTGGGGGCCGACTTCTCCCTCTGCCTGCAGCTCCCCGTTTGTGTCTCTGACAAATGAATAAATAAAGTCTTAAAAAAAAAAGATCTAACGACCTAGTTAATGAGGTAGATCCAATTAATAAAGTCTATACTTTGAAACCAGAAAATAAACTTTTTTTGAGAGCATTTTCTAAGCACAGCACAAAAATAAGAAACCCCCCAAAACAGATTTAATCATTTTTAAATATCTTCATAGTAAAAAATATTGTAAACAAAAGAAAAAGGCAATAGCAAGCCAGAGGGAAGTAATCACCAACCATTTGTGAGACACTTCCATGTAGTATGCATTTTGTGTTTTTGCCCAGCACCCATATCAGCACCATGATTTTGCTCTTGGAGTACCATTCTGGCTATCTGGTGGTGATGAGGTCTCCCTCCAGGCCCCAAGACAGGTGTGAGGAAATCACTTCATCATCTACCTGGCCACAGGATCAATTCAGGCATTAGCACAGAACCCATTTGGGGCCAATAAGAAGGAGTAAATGATAGGACTTCAGTGCAAGCAACTGAAAAAGACCTCTGCCACTGAATTTATGGTATGAAGCTGTAAGATGCAGCCATCCTGGTACCAGAGCAAGGGCTAGACTGAGGATAGAGCTGAAGAAACAGAACCCAGGGATGAATCCCAGAGACATATATTGGTGCCTAAATAGATTAGACAGAAATACCCAGAATGCTCAATGTCTTTAAATGTATTGGGATGGGGTAGAGGGCAGGCAGGGGGTAAACAACTAGAAAAGACTTTGAGGCTGAACTGTGTTATATGGAAAACTATGCAAATGAAAGAGCAGTTATTACTAGGTGTTGGGAGTTCAATTACATTCCCCAAAAAAGATATGCTGAAATCCTAAACTCTCCCCACCCCACCCCATGCGTGTGTGTGTGTGTGTGTGTGTGTGTGTGTGTGTGTGTGTGTGAGAGAGAGAGAGAGAGAGAGAGAGAGAGAGAGAGAGAGAGACTGTCTTTGCAAATGTAATCAAGTTAAAATGAGGTTAGGGGTGACTGGGGGGCTCAGTCGTTAAGCGTCTGCCTTCAGCTCAGGTCATGATCCCAGGGTCCTGGGATCGAGCCCTGCATCGGGCTCCCTGCTCGGTGGGGAGCCTGCTTCTCCCTCTCCCACTCCCCCTGCTTGTGTTCCCTCTCTAACTGTCTCTCTCTGTCAAATAAATAAATAAAATCTTAAAAAAAAAAATGAGGTTATACTGGATTAGGGTGGGCCCCAAACCCCATGACTGGTGTCCTTATAAGGAAAGAGGTTTGGAGAAAGAAAAGACACTTGGGAAAGAAGTCCACATGAAGACCAGGGCAGAAATGGGAGTTATGCTGCTGCTGCAAGCCAAGGAAGGCCAGGGATTGCTGCCAACCACCAGAGGCTAGAAGAGGCAAGGAAGGATTCTTCCCTAGAGCCTTCATAAGGGAGCATGGCCCTGCCACCACCTTGATTTCAGACGTCTGTCCTCCAGAATTGAGAGGATAAATTTCTGTTGTCTTAAGCCATCCAGTTTGTGGTAATTTGTTACGGCAACCCTAGGAAAGTAATACACCAGATGATTATTAACTTCAAGGAAAAGCAAAAAGTTGTGCAAGGAAGAAAAGTAACAGGTATAATAGAGAAATCACTTCCAGGTAGCATTTCTATAGGCAGAATAATGTAAAAATCAATCACTCAATCACAATATAACCATATTGGGAAGATAGGGAGAGGGGGCCTGGCAATTACATTTGTTTACTGGCAGCAGGAGAATCAACTTCTTGCCTTCTATCACATGAACTTTACCTTCCATCATGGGAATTCAACAGATAATGCGAAAATTGAGAAATGAAGTAGTATCATTATAAGCTTAGTACATAGATATATGGATAAATGGCCAAAGAAACAGCTAAAAGTTGAAAATGGTCATCTCTGGAGAATGAGACATGAGAAATTAGATGCTGGTGTACTAGACTGGCCTGTTTTTCGTAATAACTCATGTAGCACTATTTGGCCTATTAAATTATGCACGTATCAACTTTGATGAAAATAAAAACAAAATTAAAAAGGAAAAAATAGGCAAAAATGAACAGACAGTTCACAAAGGAAGAAATTCAAATGAAGATCATATGAACACATGCCTAAACTCAACCACAATCAGGCCAATTCAATTTAAAATAAATTTTAAAAATAAGTCTAATAATATTAAATCAAATATTAAGTCTGCCACCAACACCAAGCACAATTACTTTGGAAAGAAATTTGGAAATTCGAAAATGTTTAGTAATAATGAAAATGTGTATACAACACGCTAATCCATTCTGGCTTGAATCCCAGGAAACTTTTGTTTCAGAAGGATCAGAAAAAACCATGTTTGAGAAAGTTAATTACAGTATTGTTTATAATAGTGAAAATCTGGAGAGGATTAAATGCTTACCAATAGATATTTATCCATTCCGGATAGGATATTTTATATTTTCATATAATACTATCTGGCAATGAAAAGGAATAAACTAACTTTATATACATGAAAACACAGAGTGAAAATTTTCAGTGAAAAAGAAATGGGAAGAACAGTTTGTCCAACCTATTACCACTGAAACAAATTTGAAGACACACTAACCATACACTGCTCATGAATATCTGAATGTAAAAGCATAAAAACATCTATTGGCGGGATACATGCTAAATTCATGAGAGAAATCAGGTTGGAGAGAGGTTTACAAAATGGAACTGAAGGCGAATGCAGACTTCATCTGTCCTATGTTAGTTCATCTATTTAAAAACTCTTTTAAGGATGGGAAATCGGCTCCGCAGATTTTGGGTCTGTGAGTCTCCATGATCATGTGAGCTAATTCCCTATAATAAATATTATATTATATTTAACATACATTTTAAATAATAATATATAATATAATATGTATTTTAAAAATAAAATAAAAACTCTTAAGGAAATATGAGAAAGTGCTATTGTCAATTCTGGGTGGTAAGTACTCAGGGTTTTAAAAAATGGAATCTGAGTACTTTTCTGTATTTTTATTACCCAAATTTTAAAAACTAGATGTAAAAATGTTTCATTGGGAAATTTCAAAAATTGACTTAAAAAGAATGCAAATGCCTGAATAGTCTAAAAACCTATAGAAGATGCCCCCAAACAGCAGAGAACCATCCACTTAAAAAAAGCACTAAATCCATCCAATTTTATGGGCGAGTTCTACCAAATGTTCCAGAAACAATGTCCTAACTCATCCTGTGAGGATAGCATAATCAAAACAAAGCTAAATTATTAGCATTCCAATTCAGCAGGATATTAAAAGAAAAATCATCTTGCTAGAGTTAAAAAAAGAGTGCCTTCAGGATTTAACAACAGGAAGGTAATTTTTATAATATACTACAGAAAATTAAATGAGAAAAAAATCTTAAAGCTCAAAGCTTAAAGTTCAGTTGATGTAAAAACAAAAGTAAAATTTAGTAACCACTATATATTTTTTTCAATTCTTTGCAAACAAGAAATAGAAGAAAACTTGAATGTATAATAAAGAAATAAAAACACTCCCCTTAGTCAAAAACAGTCGAGGACGCCCTGCATCAAGTGCTAATCTACAAAATGAAATAAATTTAAATATTCGAAATAAGAAAGCAAATGTCAGCAGTTGCAGATTATAAAGCTGGTTACTTAGAAATTCCAAGAGCATTTACTGACAAACTGTTAGAAATAACAAGCCCGGACTCCTCTCTCCGCATCCGGCGCTCCGCAACCCACTGCCGGGCCTGCGCACGCGCAGTTTTGGCGCATGCGCGTGGGACGGAGAGAGGGAAGATGGCGTCTCCGAGCTTCCCCACACCGCGGCACGGACACGTGGGCCGCGGCGCCTTCAGCAATGTGTACGAGCCCGCGGAGGATACGTTCCTGCTGCTGGACGCACTCGAGGCAGCAGCGGCCGAGCTGAGGGGGTGCGAGGAGGGCGAGGGTCCCCGCGGGAGAGGGCTCGGGCGTCCTGGAGAGGCGGCGGCGAAGGAGAGCCAGGGAAAGGAGGGATGCTGTCTGCCCTGGGGCGGTGTCAGCGTCCTCGGCGAACACTGACACCAGAATGCCGTTGCAGACGATTTTCCTGTAGTTACCTGTAAAGAGCGGGCCAGGGAGCTACCTACTTTTGCCAAGGTGTTGTTTTGGTCGCAGGAGCTCCTTAGCTCCTTTCCACGCCGGCGTGTATCTTTTCCTTTCAGCTGTTAGTCTGAAGAACGCAAGCCCCCGCGAGCAGCGATATTATAACACGTTCAAAAACCGAATATTACGAAAATATTGCTTATTAATATTAAAATTTTTAGTAAATATTAAAAGCTGCGTCGTATTTAATTTACTCCGTACACAAAAGCACCCTGTAGCAACGGAAGGGCACAAAAATGAAATGAGGTGGTGAGATCCAGGCGTGGAGAAGTATTTTTAAACCCACTGAACAGCGTTCTCGGCCCTGTACCAATATCCGCTTAGCCGTGTGTGGCTACGGAACCCTTGAAAGGTGGCTAGTGCACGACACAGAACGTAATTTTTCATTTAACTTAAAAATTTAAATAACTACATAGCAGCCTATGGAATTTTCCCGAGCACTTTGTAAATAATAAAATTGACTTGTTCAAGTGCCCCCATAAATTTTAAATGACATGAAAAGTCATTGTAATTTTTTTTAATGAAAGGAATTTGAGTAATTAGATTTATTTAAAGATCAGGACTTGAAATTGGTTTTCTCAAGATGAAACAGCTGTCAGACTTCAGAGATCTATATTTCTCTATTTTGTTTGTCTATCTCTCTTAAACCTGGTCAGATTTTTCCATATATAAAATGCCCCAACTCTTATTAAACTAGCTTTCCATTGTAAACGATGGAACTTTGGGATTTACTGGAATATAGAATGGTACAGTACTGATTTTTATAATTAGTCTTTTAGTCTCAAGATATTCCCGAAAGATTTACAAGCACAAATTGCATTGCACAGTATGCTGTGAAAGGAGCTGATTTTGTTGTGAAGTCAGATTCTTTCTGGTCTTGGAATTCTGTTTATGAAAGCATGATAGTTTTTTTCAAATAATCAACAGAACTTCCCACAGAATAAAGTTTTGTCAGATAATGTGGACTGGTTCCAAAAGTTAGAAGCTGCTAGAGTTTGTAGTTGGATAGTTGTTTGAGGAGTTAGTTGCTGGAGAGACCTCCCAAATCCCATCAAACCCATTTCTGTGATAGAAATAATTGGCGCTTTCCATGCATATGTAGGTTATAGGCAGGGAAATAAATTTAATTGAAAGATAAATACGGTATAATGAAGAATTTATTCAAAAGCATGTTAAAGTTACTACTAATATTCTAAGATCAGATACTCTGATATTTTCCCAGTTCAGTGTACAGCTGTACAAATAAGGAATTTCTTTGCTGCTCTAAATCTATTAAGAGAAAGGAATTTTTTTCCCTAGGATATGCTAATGGATTTGTGAATGTTCTGTGCTTTTAAATGACAGAGGAAACATCTTTCATAAATAAATAATGTAATACTACTAACCCTATCATTTGGGGGAAATACTAAACTAGGAGCTCCTTGTGAGAAGGGTTGATGTTTTTCCTATAAATAATATTTTCAACCCTCAACCTTATTCCATAATTTTTATGTAATGTTTTATAGAAATTAATTGAAAGCCATTTATTTTATGGACTTAAATTACAAACTCCAAACAATTTTGAGTGAAACAATTAAATGAGCACAAAGTGGTTGTCAGAAATTAGTGTGTTTATAAATTTCTTTTATATTTCCATATATTTGTGGACAAGGGATGCTGGAAAAATACATATTAAAAGTAGATTGAGAGTCATTTTCTGGGATGTATATTTTTATCCTACTATACTCATATTTATTTTACTTTGCTTTTTTTAGAGTGGAAATATGCCTTGAAGTAGGGTCAGGGTCTGGAGTGGTATCTGCATTCCTAGCCTCTATGATAGGTCCTCAAGCTTTGTACATGTAAGTGTAAGTATATCAAATTCATCCATATCTTCCACTAAGAAATTCACTAGGGGTATGACCGCTCTAATGAAATCATTTTTGTAAATAAATAATATATACCTGAAAGGGTCTACTTAAGTGTAATAAGGACTCAGATTGTGAATTATTCTTCCCTAAAAATTATAACTACATGTCCAAAACTTCCATCATACTACATAATTATAGAAGCAACAAAATAATTTTAGGGTATTTCTAAATTTGAAATTTTTTAGGTAAATAGCCTGATTAGCAGAAAAAATTGGAAGTTACTTAAATTTTTTAAGAAAATTTGAGAATATGGAAAGTTTAAAGAAGAAAATAAAAGTCACTTCCGGTTCTACCACATGTGGTCCAAGTGTGTTTCTTTTTTTTCCCCATTTCCTATGTTTTTCATTTAATATGGTATCATGACTATTTTTCAAAAATTCCTTTTAAATTTCATTTTTGTGGTGGCATAGTAATCATTGGATTCATAATTTAGTAAATGCCTTCAGATGTGTATGCATGTATGTATATTTTCTACTCTTGCACATTTTATCAATATAACATTCTTTTTCATTCATATGACAAATCTTTGTTTTTTTTCCTTCACCATTATTAAAGCATTTTAATTTTTTTCTAAATCTGCTTTGTATAAAAGCAGCGGAACGTTTTTTAATTTTTCAGTAATAGGTTTGCCTCATGGTCGTAAGATATAGTTTTCTTTCTTTTCTGTCTCTAGGTGCACTGACATCAACCCTGAGGCAGCAGCTTGCACTCTGGAGACAGCACACTGTAACAAAGTCCACATTCAACCAGTAATTACAGACTTGGTGAGCTGTTCATCCTTGTCCAATAATAGTTAATTTCCTTTTCAAATAAGTTAAGGTTAAGATGGTTAGGTCAAAGAAGCTTGGGTGATTAATTAATTAACTTTTAATCCACTAAATAGTATACCCCATAATTTACAAAGTAAATTCTTGACTGTTGTAATTCATCTTGTCCAATATTCAAAGGGAATTTCTACTGTCTTGGAAGGATCAGTCATCTTTTGGTCAGAAGTGACAGAGAATCCAGTTCACACTGGCTTAAGTAAAGAGAGTGTAGCTTCAGGCACAGCTGGCTCCAGGAACTCAAATGATATGATAGGCATCTTTTTCTTAGCTCTGAACTTCTCTATTGGCTCTATTTCTGGGTAGTCTCCCTTCATGGTAAGAAGATACTTGCATGTCTGTATCTTATTTCTCAGCAAACACCTCCCTCACCCCTCCGTGGAAAGAAACTCTTTCTATTCAGTTAGTCTAACAAGCCCCAGAATGAGTATTGCTTGGATCATCTTAGATCATATACCATCTCTCAGTCTCTCACTATGGCCAAAGGGGATCGAAATATGGAGATGACTGGTTTAGGCCTGAGTCATAGTCCCACCCCAGCAGCTGCATTGGGATAAGCCCTACCCAAGCCACATGGATTGAGAATGAGAGGAGATAGAGCTTACCCAACAGAGATCAAGGAGGTAAAATCAGAAGAAAGGGGAATGAGGCCTGGGCAGGTGAAAACGACACATCATAATTACAGAACCATCGTTTTATTTTAAGTTACACATATATTTTCCAGTTGCAGTTTTCCTTTAATGTTTTAATTAGTAAGACGTGGATAATTTTGGATTTTTGTTGTTATAAGTGCTTTTTTGTAAGCAAAAAATCATAACAGCATGTACCAGGTAGGGATAAGAAAAACGCTTTCTGTGCTTCTTGACCTGTATTATTCTTACAGTGGTAAGAGTATTTAGCTTTTCTGCTTTTTTAAATTCACAAATGACTTTTCAGCTTGGAAGGAATTAAGCCAAATATGTAAAAAATTCTTACCTATTAGAACTTGTGACTGCTATTAAAAACTAGATTATCAAGAAAGATACTCAGGGGGCGCCTGGGTGGCTCAGTTGGTTAAGCGACTGCCTTCAGCTCAGGTCATGATCCTGGAGTCCCGGGGATCGAGTCCCGCATCGGGCTCCCTGCTCAGTAGGGAGTCTGCTTCTCCCTCTGACCGTCTTCCCTCTCATGTGCTCTCTCTCTCTCAAATAAATAAAATCTTTAAAAAAAAAAAAAAGAAAGGTACTCAGGTGATTTACATGGGATCACTGTGGTGGTTTTGCCCTTTAAAATTTTAACTTGTTTCTTTAATGTGTCCATGATTAGTGTTAAATATATGTTTTTGATATAATGATAAAACTTTAGAGATACAAGAAATTCAGAATATCTTTTTTTTAACAGAGGTAGAAACTGAGGTGAGGTTCATTTTTTAAAGTCACATAACTAATAAAGTGTTAAATACAGAATTTAAGCCCAGACCATGGGAATCTAAATCTAGGGGTCTCACAGCTCATGGTAGTCCATGCCAGAGTCAGCTGTTTCAGTGGTTCCCGGTGATGGTGACACTGAGTACTGACAAAGAAAGAAGGAAGTAAGCGTTAGCATAGGTATTATGATCCACTTACAGAACTCTCTGTTTATATTCAGAACACTGAGCATAGATTATCACAGCCGTGATACAAAGTCATTGTTCTAGATAACTAAGCTTACCTGTTTACAAAGTAGTACCTTTTATTTTGCTTCTTTTTTAGTTTTAGAAAAAAGACTTTTTTCAGATATGTCATATGCCTTTCCTTATATTCCTAAAACAAACTAAACATAACTTTACCTTTGATTGATTCAGGGTCATTAATATGAACCTTAGTTGCTGTTCTGTGCTAGGTGTGATAATGAGGCTTATTCAGGGCTTTGTGTCTTTACACTGAGTAGCTAGAGCCTGCAGTGATTTTGAGTTTTTATTTCTTCTCCTCTTTGTCTCTCTCTTCACTTGCTTTATGTTGTCTTATTTTACTATTACCTGTTGGTGGCATTTTCACTCTCTCTTTCCATGTGCTCTGTGCTAGAATACCGAACAAGTGATTTAGTTAAACTTGGATTTAAACTAAGAGTTCGGGGTGACTGGGTGGCTCAGTCGTTAGGCGTCTGCCTTCGGCTTAGGTCATGATCCCAGGGTCCTGGGATCGAGCCCTCCATCAGGCTCCCTGCTCAGTGGAGAGCCTGCTTCTGCCTCTCCCACTCCCCCTGCTTGTGTTCCTTTAAAAAAAAAAAAAATTAAGAGTTCAGGGGCTCTGAAAAAGAGCCTCTCATATGAATAAAGTACATTTTGCTATATGGATTTAAAACTTCTTGCCAGAGGCCTTTTGTGCTTACTTCCCAATTCTTGGATCTGTTCTAATGCTCTAAGACCACCCACAAGCTGAATATGGATGGGTGAGAGACGTGTGTGATTAGACCCTATACCCAGCCTACCGTGACGTCCTTATCTAAATCCATTTCCTTTGTAAACTACATCATTTTCCATGTTTTAATATCCATTTTTTCCTTTATTTAAAATCCAGTACTGCAATGATTATTAGTATATAGTACCTCAGATCCATTATAAACAATTACAAAGCAAATTCCTTTCTAGTTTCCTTACTCAACATTTCTGGAAAATTACCTTCTGGGCTTTTTTTTTTTAACAATGTGAGAAACTTAATTTCTTTATGTAATTGAAAATAAAGCTTTTGGTTATTTCAAATGTATTTCCTCACTGCAGTATCACTACTGAAAGGAACAGCAGATTCACTAGTCACCTTCCTACTTGCAGACAAGGGTATACCTGAATCACTTCCCTCAAAAATGTTATTCTTCACTTTTTAAATAAATAGGGAAAGAAAAGTTACCTCTGTAATATCTCCTCAAAGATGCTATTCGTGTATTTTCTTTGAACTGTATAGTTAACAGGCTTATTACGATGACAAACATAGAATTGCTTTTAGAAACCTGGATAAAATGGAAGTTGTAAGGCGGTGTTTCACACTGTGTGTAAATAGCCCAGTGAGGTGCCCAGTACCGAGATGGTATGACTGAGTATTAAATAACTTTGAATCACATAAAAGCTCTTTCCTCTCTAATTCTCCTTTAGCCATTTTGATTACATCTGGGAGAAGGTCTCAGTTTTAACACCTTTTAAACACTTGCAAATGTCTCGCTTTTTTTTCTCTTAAAGATTTTATTTATTTATTTATTTATTTATTTATTTGAGAGACAGAGAGGCTGTGAGAGAGCACGAGCAGGATAGAAGGAGAGGGAGAGGGACAAGCAGGCTCAAGCAGGGACCCAGATGCGGGGCTCGATACAGGGCTCGATGAGGGGCTTGATGCGGGCCTTGATCCCAGGACTCTGGGATCATGACCTGAGCTGAAGGCAGATGCTTAACCGACTGAGCCACCCAGGCTTCCCTGCAAATGTCTCTTTAACAAAGAGACAGATGGCCTGGGTCACTCTCAGACTGGCAGCAGTAACTATAACCATAACATTTTTTTATTTATATCATATTTATCCTTGTAGTCATTTCTATTTCCAGGAAGTAATACTGATTTCCCTTTAGAACAAACTTATTTAACAGAAAAAGGTCCATTTAATGAAAAATATTCAGTAAATAATGGTAGGTCCCTGTGCATATATGAGAGAATTATAAGAATGTTAATGAAATACTTAACACTTTGGACCCTGCCTTGAAGTACGTCAGCTATTCCATCTCAAGAAACAGCCTCAGGAGGCACCTGGGTGGCGCAGTCAGTTAAGCACAGTCGGTTAGGTGTCCGACTCTTGATTTCAACTCAGGTCATGATCTCACGGTTTGTGGGATTGAGCCCTGCATCAGGCTCTGAGCTCAGTGGGGAGTCTGCTTCCTTTCCCTGTACCCCGTTCCTGCATGTGCACACATGCGCTTGCTCTCTCTCTCAAATAAATAAATAAATCTTAAAAAAAAAAAAGAAAGAAAGAAACAGCCTCAAAATTCATGGGCAAGAGTCTGTACAATGTGGTAATTGAAGGAAATGGCTTTAGGGGTGAAAACCTATCCAGATGTGGTGTTTTTACTTTACTGTACCTGTGACAGTGCAGAGTGACATGACCAGACATGGTTTTTGTTTGTTTGTTTGTTTGTTTTTCAAGATTTTTATTTATTTGAGAGAGCAAGAATGAGAGAGAGAGCACATGAGAGGGGGGAGGGTCGGAGGGAGAAGCAGAGTCCCCGCTGAGCAGGGAGCCCAATGCGGGACTCGATCCTGGGACTCCAGGATCATGACCTGAGCCGAAGGCAGTCGCTTAACCGACTGAGCCACCCAGGCGCCCACCAGACATGGTTTTGTGAGTATGTATGTAATTCAGTCATCAGAGGGATCAAAGGAATACTTTAAATGGCATCGTGCCCTAAAAGCACTTTGTTTAAAAAGACATTTTTGTTGTGGTTCCACAGAAAATTGCACCCAGTGGTTTAAAGGTTTACAAAATGCCAAACAACTGAGATTTTCAGTGTCTCTTCTACTTTTTTTAGTCCTTTCTTTGATATCTAATTGTTCCAGCCAGTACATTTATGAGTAATTAAAGTAGAAAGCAAATATAAATATATATAAATATATATACACATGTATGTATCTTCTGATGTTTTTTGTCATCTCATAAAACATTTCTCTTGGTTATAGAAAATAAATATTTAAGTTAGAGCACTAGCTTTAAAGTATCTGTATATCGATATAGAACATAGGAGAGCTTGCTTCCTTATTTAACCTTCTAAAAGTGAACCCAGAGTGTAAACATATGAGCTGTCAAAAAGCAGAGGCTTTTGGGCATTTTATGTTCATTCTCTTAAATAGTTTAATTTCCTATTTTTAGGTAAATGCATATAATCTATATCTGAATGAAAATGTAAAAATATTTATCTCCATCTCTGTCTACAATTTTAGCCCTCTAACACATTGTTCTCTAAAAACATGGGAAGAAAGTCTTTTTAAAGATTTATTTATTTATCTATTTTAATTCTGAGTCCAGCTTAAAATTCTGACTATTGAAACGTTTAGGTCAAAGGCTTACTACCAAGATTGAAGGAAAAAGTTGATCTTCTGGTCTTTAATCCCCCCTATGTAGTGACTCCACCTGAAGAGGTAAGACATGTAACAAGATTTAATTATTAATATTTTCAGCTATTTTCTTTATAAAATCCAATGAATTTCATTATATGACATTAGTCAGCTGCTGAGTAACACAAACTGGTCTGATATTACTCCTAATTGTCAATAATTAAGTATGTTGGTAGATGTAGGAAAGGAATCTCAAACTAATGGAAATACAGTGACCCATATTCATCCTTAAAATTCCCATCAAAATCAGGCCATATGTTTAAATTTGCATGTGTGTGTGTCCTTTACCATGAATGGCAAATTTGCAAAACATTATTTTAAATCATCCTTAAATTCCTTATAGGAATTCTTTCTGAAAGTCAACGATTTCCTCCTTTCACAGGTGTTTTGGGGGTGGCTCTTATTTCAGGTAGGGAAAAGAAACATCTTGAAATATATGATTTGGAAAATCTCAATAATGAAGAGGTAAATCATATCCCAGTTTAAAGAGAGAATGGTCAAGGCAGACAAAGTTTAATAACGAACTAAGGCTAGCTTTCCTTGAATTATTCATGATCCTGTTTTATTCATCGAGGAATCATTCTCTGGCAAGGCTGATAAACATTACATTCTCCTCTATTAAGATGGCAAAAGTCTCTGTAGCTGCTATTACTACTAAAGGCAGCTAAGCAACTAAGAACTTGTTGCTCCTCTGACACAGGAACTCACTTGAGAAGGAAAGTCATAAGGTGAACAGAGATTGAGGGCAATGCAACTTAATACAACTCTTTAGGAAAGACTATGTGAATAAATATCAAGAGTGATAAAAATGTTTCAGTCCAATAATTTCAGTCCTTGAGATATAATTTAAGAAAATCATTTAAGGGACCCCTGGACAGCTCAGTCGGTTGAGCCTCTGCCTTCAGCTCGGGTCATGATCCCAGGGTTCTGGGATCAAGTCCCGAATCAGGCTCCTTGCTCGGCGGGAAGCCTGCTTCTCCCTCTGCCTGCCACTCCCCCTGCTTGTGCGCTATCTCTCTCTTGCTGTCTCTCTCTGACAAATAAATAAATAAATCTTAAAAGAAAAAAATCATTCAACAGAATAAAAGTTGACATTAACAAAAATATGTTTATGGCATGTTTATTTATGATGACAAATAATATGAACCTATATATGTAACAGAGGAGATGTAGTTAAGTAAATCATGGTCTATCAGGTCTACAAACTTCTGGCAAGACTAGTGAATGAAGAGGAGATTCTGGGAACATGGGGACATGTATGGGCTTCCTTTCTCCCACATTCCCACTACTAAGCTCCATAGTTGCTTCTCCTGAGCCTTACAGCTGCTGGAACATGGAGATGATTGGGAGGAGGCAGGACCTTGGCTCTTTCACAGTCCCAACAGCGAGAGCTACTGTTGTAATTCCCATGAGCTAAGCAGTTAGCTGGACGGCAGAATCAAAGTGTAGGACAACGAAGATTTCCTTGAGCTTAAAAACATGTTTTACAAAATAAAACACTAGGAAATGAATTAAAAGAGAATCTGGTCTCTGTCAAGACCTGAATCAGTGTCCTGGAAACCAGATGAAAGATTTCAGTGCACAGAGCATGAAGATAAAAAAGGAAATCATGCAGGCAAAAGATAAGAGACTTAGAGGTTAGATCCAGGAGACATAATATAAAAATAATGGGAGTCTGTGCATATAAAAAATTGTGGCTATACTTACTAGTATATGTAGAGACATGAGGTTAGGTACTTCTGGCTTGTGCCCGTGAGCTATGAAGGATCAAGAGCAGGTACAGCAAGGCTCAGGTAGCAGGCAAACAGCAGACGACCAAACGTGACTCCTCCGTGTGAGGATGGAAACCCTCCCTCTGTGGTCTGTAAGAATGTGCTTGGTGCCTGGAAATCTTCCCTTAAGGGGAAGCAGATAAACCTGGCTGAGCATCCCTGGGGAGGCATATAAACAGGGTCTAGCACAGAGGGGTACTAGTCCATTCTGGAAGAGAATAACGAAAGACAGCCTTATCACCAGGCGCTCTTTCCACAGACCACTTTACCTGATGAAACATCCATAGAATGGGCTCCACCAAAATAAGGGGGTATACCAAGGAAGAGGAAGACAGGAGCCCCAGAAAAGTAATTCTAGGAATGCCAGGAAAGGGAAGTCTCTAGGAGGAAAGTCTTGACAGAAAACAGAGGAACTAATAAATTTCCTAATATAATTTACTTTGTGGAAAATTGTATTGAAAAGTTTATGATAGATATGAGAATAATTTAAATTACATACAAAAAGGGGCTCCTGGGTGGCTCAGCTGGTTAAGTGTCCGACTCTTGGTTTTGGCTCAGGTCCTGATGTTAATGTGTTGTGCGGTCGAGCCCCACATGGGACTCTGCACTCAGCACGAGGCTGCTTGGATATTCTCTCCCTCTGCCCCTTCTCTGCTCCCTTGCTCGCTCTCTCTAAAACAAATAAATGTTTTTAAAAAATTAGATACAAAAAAATTTAAGTAAATGAATGCATTGGATGCTCATCAATAGCTACATAAGATATGATATTTTTCCATTATAAAGTATTAGGCAGGGGCACCTGGGTGGCTCAGTTGTTAAGTATCTGCCTTCGGCTCAGGTCATGATCCCAGGGTCCTGGGATCGAGCCCCGCATCGGGCTCCCCGCTCGGCGGGAAGCCTGCTTCTCCCTCTCCCACAGCCCCGCTTGTGTTCCTGCTCTCACTAACTCTCTCTCTCTGTCAAATAAATAAATAAAATCTTTAAAAAAAATAAAATATTAGGCAGCCATTAAAAGAGTAAGTCAGAACCACACCTGATCACATGAAGAGCTCATCTTAAGGTATTGTTGAGTGAGAAAAGCAAGATATGGGGTAAAAATATAGAATATAATCCTGTCTTTGTAAAACATGGACAAAAAAAGAAAAAAACGTGTGTGTGTGTAAGATGGGGAAGGAGCAGACAAGCAAAACAGTAAAAGGGGAAAGTGCAATTTTTTTAAAAAGCAGGTATATGAATGTATTTCCCTTATTTATAAAATAATATACGTATATAGTTACAGGTATAAAGAAATTTAATGGAGAAATATATACCATTTAAATGAATAAAAGCAGTAGGCATGATTGTATACCATTATTTTAAACTAAAATATGGACAAAACCATTGAAGGATATAGAAGGAAAATAATTGTTAGGGTTAAACTAGTTTTTGAATGGTTTCTTTAAAATATTCTTTAGTTTTGAAAATGATATACAGTGATAAGAATCTAAAGATTTAGTACCGTATGAACTCTCATGTGTTTTGTTTCTACGATAGAATTAGATTGTTATGGGGAAAAATGCTTTGGTGAACCTTTATATATTAAATAGGTTCCTTAAAAAGGTCTGTACAATTCATACTTTAAATCTAGAAGAGAGCCAGATGCAGCAGGACATGTAGTTTCAACAAACTTCCTGCAGAGTAGATCTCTTATAATGCAAGATTTCCCTGTTAGTTTCTTTCTGATTGTTAAGTATAAGAATCACCGATGTCTATCAATATAAATATTGCATAAATAGTAACAACGTTTACTAAGCACTTGATATTTGCAGAGCACTGTTTTCAAACTTCAAATATATTTCCTCTGTTATTCCTAGCAATGGAAAAAATTAATTTGTTACCATTTTTCTACTTTAACAGTTAAAACTATTGTTTTTCTGATTTTACAGATAAGGGAGGGAACTAATTCACAAAAATGACAAACTTCCATAAGGTCATAGGGCTAGGAAATGGTGGGGCACAGATTCAACTTTTCTGCCTCCTGGACAACAGTAAAATACAAAGTATATACTTGTTTGGTGCATGTTACTTGTCAAGAAGATTCTGTGTGTGATTCTAAATGTAACTTGAATCAAAACAAAACGGTCTTTTTTAAATGGTCACAGGTAGGAAGTCATGGAGTAGAAGCCGCTTGGGCTGGTGGCAGAAATGGTCGGGAAGTCATGGACCGATTCTTCCCACTGGCTCCAGATCTTCTGTCGCCAAGAGGATTATTCTATCTGGTTACCATTAAAGAAAACAATCCAGGTAATCCAGACTAGTTATCTTTTAACCACTTACTTTGCTGAAATCAAAAGTTAATAATGTTAAAGACTATAAAGTAACCTGAAATACTGTAAATATAATCACTGACAACAGCTCACACAAGCATAACATTCATATTGAAAGAAGAGAGATTTCTAAGATACAGTTTTTTCTGGTTTTAGAAAGTAGTATTTTTTTAAAGGGAGAGGACAGTTTTCCCCCTATTTGATAAAATAATATTCAAACACAAAATCTGTAATTTCTTCTTTTAACACCTCACCCTGAATATTATGAATTTTCTCTCCACATTGTAGTCTACATGCCCTTGACAATTCCGCTATGTACTCTTTAGTTCATGTGAAGTTTTGTTATGAAAGCTAGCTCATGGTATGGATTTTTAGATCTTGGTTTTCAGATGACTCCATACAAAATTGACCAAAATCTTTCTTCTCTTTCAGTACACAAGTTTGATTTTCATCTTATACCTTACATCCTTAGCCCCTCAAATCACATAATGATTACTTAAGTTTTGCTCTGTTTGTAAGTCCATTTTCTTAATTCAGTCTTTTTAGTATCACTTATTTACAAAAGGGAAGGTGTTCCTTTTTTCAATATACCTGAAAGAAATAAGCTATTTCATTTACTTTCACTGTTTAATGTCACTGTACAGTTTGTCCTACTTTCATTGACTTTTTTCATCCCAAAGGAAAGGCCAGGATTGGAGCCAAGCAACTAAACTAATTACTTGCTATAATGACAAGTGTAATTAATGTTTCTGTTGAGTCCAGAGTAGGCCACCACTGCAAAGCAAGCGTTCAGTATGATTAGAGCTCTCCACGACACCTTGCAAATGCAGGTGCTCCCATTTGACCGAAGTCCATTTTAATAGAAATTTACTTGGTATACATTGTTTCCTCAGGTAAGTAGAATTTGTAAATAGTCTGCGTTTATCATCTCATTAAACTGTTTAGTGATCATACACTCTTTACTAGATGATTTTAATTGGATTTTACCTTTTAATTTTTATTCTAGAAGAAATTTTGAAAACAATGACAACAAGAGGTCTACAAGGGACTATTGCACTTTCCAGGCAAGCAGGCCAAGAATTCCTCTCAGTCCTGAAGTTTACCAAGTCCTAACTTACTGTGTGTGCTGTGTATTATGCTGATTTTATATATTGATAATATATATTATATTGAATATATATGTGAATATATATATAGAGAGAAACTGAATGTATTTCACATATTTTGAAACTGAAGTCATTTCTTCATTAACAAGTGAAATTGTCAGGTTATATAGAAAAAGGTGGGAAGGGCATTGCATTCCCTTTTCCCCAGGTAATCAAGCCTACAGAAATAGTTGCATAAGTGCCAGTAAATGCATATAGAATATATATTATTTGCATTTTACATATAAAACCTGAACATGAGTGATGTATCCAGTCACTAAACATGAGTCAGGTCTGAAGGTGTTTCTAATGTACTATTGAGGGAAAAAAGCAAATTACAAAAGAGTATGATCCTGTATGTATAATTTTGAAACCCAGCAGAGAGGGTATGTGTGTATGTGAACATCGGAACGTCTCAGAAGATACATGGCAGGAGGGAACGGGGGACTCTTGCTCTCTTAGCATTTGCACAATGATAACGTATGACTTATATAATTTTAAAAAGGTTTTCATTTAAAATTTTTTAAAATTTACTTTCACTTGTTCATTGTCTACATTCTATTTCTATTATTTGGAATGCCTTCTGCCTCCATGTTTCTCCCTGGTCAGATTGTTCCTACCTTTTATCCTTTGTCATATATTTCTGTTTTCTTCTTGCCTATATGTGTAGGATCAGAGTGAGTGGAATCTAGAATTTATTTTTAATTGGGCTACATTCAGAATCAACTGGAGAAGCTTTTTAAGATTATAAATTCCTAAGCCCGACCATAGACCCGTGGACTCCTCTGCTGAACAGACCTAAAAATGGCATCTTTTAAAACGTGCTTCCTAGTGTTCCTTAAGGTAGCACACCAAATTTTAGAACTATTTTGTTTTTTTTGTTTTTGAAGATCTATCTATTTATTTGACAGAGAGAGAGCACAAGCAGGGGGAGCAGCAGAGGAAGAGGGAGAAGCAGACTTCCCACGGAGCAGAGAGCCTGACACGGGGCTTGATCCCAGGACCCCGAGATCATGACCTAGGCTGAAGGTAGACACTTAACTGACTAAGCCACCCAGGCGCCCCTAGAACTATTGTTTTAAATCACATTCTTATTTAATGTTTAGGACAATGCACAGAAAGAGTGGAATTACCCTCCTTTGAATTTCAGAAAGGTCAAATAACTTGTTCAAAGAAGCAGAGTAGTTAAAGGGTAAAGCCAGTATGGCAGCACTCAGACACATCTGACTCCCAAACACTTTCTTTCAATTTGCTTATATGGCTTTAAGCAGTAAAGATGTCAAAATTAGTATTTACTTGAATCTAATATCTGTAAATATATTCCCCTTCCCAGAAATAGTCATCTGAAATGTTACAATTAAAAAAAAAAAAGTCTAAAAAAACTTAGAACTTTATTGTGGGTCTTTAGTTATAATTTTGGAGAATGGGGTCTTGAATATTTTCAGATAACATTTGAAACACTTTAAAATTCACATAGAAGACGACTGTCAACATAGGAGATTAAAAACATAGAAATGCTACATAAATGACCCCAAAACTTCACATGCATAACTGTTAATGGACTAAATTGTGTCCCCCCCCAAATTCATATGTTGAGATCCTAATCCCCAGAACCTCAGAAGGTGAGTGTATTTGAAGATGGGCCTCAAAGAGATAACTAAGATTAAAGGAGGCCATCAGGGTGGGTCCTGATCCAATCTGACTGGCCTCCTTACAAGAGATTAGGACATAGGGAGACACCAGGGATGCTTACACACACAGAAGCAAACCACATGAAACTCACTGAGAAGGCAGCCATCTGCAAGCCAAGCGGGGAGACTGCAGAAGAAACCCAACCTGCTGACGCCTTGCTCTTGGACTTCAGCCTCCAGAACTATGAGCAAATAAATTCCTGTTGTTGAAGCACCCGGCCTGTGGTATTTGTCATAGTGGCCCTAGCACACTAATACAGTGATTAAAGACAGGGCAATACCTGCATTCTGCAAACAAGAGAGAGCAGTGCTAGCGTGAAAAGTGGATGCTGTGTCCTGGTGGTCAGAACTGTGACCCGGAGCCTTCAGGAGGAGAGGTGCAGATCCAGCTCTCTTCGTGTTCAGAAAGAGCTGTTAAATACAGGAAGAAAGAGGACCTGTAAAACCACATCATTTAGCCCAAGAGAAGCAGCAAAACAAACTGTCATACCTTGAATGAAAAGAAAAATAGTAATAATCTATTACTATTATAGATTGTGCTACCCTCTGTTGTAGGATTTAATTCATCCTATTTATGTGAGGTAGGAACATTAACATGAAAAAGTCAACATTAAAACTATCTAAACCGTTGCTCACCAAGAAGCTACAATCAATGAGAGCAGAAAAAAAAAAAAAAAAAACAGACACCTAAGGTATATAAACAGTGGAATTGTTATATTCAGATTGTGGAATGTTTGACATGTTTAAAGAATTAACATAAAGAAAAGCTCATACAAGAAGAAACTGGAAAGAACAAATTGAAGTCGACTTTTAAAAATGAGAAATAGAGACATGGAAATGTATTAGTGTTAATTTGTGCTTACCAAAAAAAAAAAAGAAAGAAAAAGAACAAGAACAAAAACAACAAACAGAATATTTTAAAACAAAGGAGTGATAATATTCCATTGCAAAATTAAGTTATAGTTCTTTTACTTTTTTTTTCTTTTTTTCTCACACTGGGAAGAAAAAGGAATACAAATTAAGATAGGACTGAAAAAAGAAAAATTTAGACAGGACTGAAAAGACTCAGGAAGAGATTAAGAGAAATATAGCCATGTTAGGAACCTTTATGACTAAATGTAAATCATTCTATGTGTAGATGTAGGATGTGATTCATACATATGCTAAAATTACTTTGCATATAAAATAATACAATACATACCAATGCCTATCTCCATTCTGTTTTCATTTTTCTTTTTATGTAAACTTTGTATTGAGGTGGAACATAGATTTATAGATTGTATATGTCTTAGGTGTCTAGCTTGATGGATTTTTATGAAGTCAACATCCATTTAGACTACACCCAAATCAAGAAATAGAACATGACCAGCATTCCAGAAGCTCCACCAGATTTCCTTCCCAGTCACCACCTCCCACCCACCAAGGGAAACCATTGCTTGGCTTTTTGTGTTAGTTTTTTATTTCTGCATAACTAACAGCTCTGACTTTACTGCTATTAGCACAAATTTAAGGTCTCACAGTTTCTCTGGGTCAGCAGTGTGGGTATAGTGAGCTGGATTCACTGCTTAGAATCTCACCAGGCTGTAGGAAAGGTGTTGGTCATGGCTGTGATCTCATCTGGGGCTCAGGGTCCTTTTTCATGTGGTCGTAGGACTAAAGTCACTTTTCTGGCTGTTGGCTAGCGATAATTCTCACCTTCTACAGGCCTCTCTTGAATCTTTGTACCATGATCACCTCCCCAGGTAGTTCACAAAATGGTCGCTTGCTTCTTTATGGCCAGCAGGAGAATTTCTCAACCTTCCAAATCTACAGTGAGAGCCTAGAATTTCTTTGAAAGGGCTCATCTGATTAGGTCAAGTTCACCCAGTATACTCTTCTGTTTAATTAATTATCCAAACTCAACTGATGAGGGACCTTATGTAACCTAATTACAGAGAGAAATAAAGTCATTCACAAGTCCTACCCACAGTCAAGGGATGGGGATGACGCAATGCATGTACACCTGTGGGAGTGAACCTTGCAGGCCATCTTAGAATTGTGTTATGTTCCTTATACTACAGATCTGGTCTTCCTACTTTGAACCTGTATTAATGAATCATATGATATATACTCTTTGGTGTCTAGATTCTTTCATTCAGTAGTGTTTTTATGAGATTCTTCCATGCAGTTGTGCACAGCAATGATTTATTCATTTTCACTTTTGTATATTCTCATTACTTCCATTGTATGAATATATCAAAATTTATCCATTCTACTGTTGAATATCTGCATTGCTTCTAGCTTTGTATCATTGTGACCACATTTGTATCTTTCAGCAAACATGTATGCATTTCTGATAAATACATACCTACCAGTTATCTTCAGCTTTCATAAAAAGTTTTCCCAAAAGTCACTTTTTAAAAAATGAGAAACAGAGTCCCTAAAATCAAAACCCACAATGGACAGGGTAAATAGCTGAAAAGAGAATTAATGAACTGAAAAAAATTCATCAAGTACTGCCCAAAGAGATAGAAGGAAAATATGAAGGAACAATAAGGATTATGAAGGATAAAACACACAAGAGTCCCAAAAAGAATGTAAGAAAGACGGGGTGCCTGGGTGGCTCAGGTCGTGATCCCAGGGTCCCGGGACCCTTGCTCCGTGGGAGCCTGCTTCTCCCTCTCCCATTCCCCCTGCTTGTGCTCTCTCCTTCTGTCAAGTGAATAAATAAAATCTTAAAAAGAAAAAGAAAAAAATGTAAGAAAGGCAATATTTGAAAAGATAATGGCTAATATTTTTCCGGAATTGACTTTTTAAAAAGAAGACAGACTCCAGAAGCACAAACAAAATAAAGGGAAATCCACACCTAGCCATAGCATAGTGGCATTGCAAAACATCAAAGGCAAAGCGATCTTAAAAGTTAATCAAAGGGAAGGAACGACTCACTGGTCAGCAGGGGTTGGCAAACATTTTGTAACTAAAATACTGGAGCACAGCCCTGGCCATTCATTCAAGTATGGTGTGTGGCTGCTTTAGCCTACAGAGGCAGAAGCTGAGTAGTCACAGCCTAGACCACAGAAACCACATGGCCCATAAACTACAAAATATTTACCATTTATCCCTTTAATATGTTTGCCAACACTGCTACCAGGGAACTATAAAGTAACAACAGATTTCTTTTTTTTTTTAAAGATTTTATTTATTTATTCATGAGAGAGAGAGAGAGAGAGAGAGAGAGAGAGAAGCAGACTCCCAAGGAGCAGGGAGCCTGATGCGGGACTCGATCCCAGGACCCCGGGATCATGACCTGAGCGGAAGGCAGATGCTTAACCATCTGAGCCACCCAGGCACCCAACAACAGATTTCTTAAACAGCAACAAAGGAAGCCAAAAGCCGGTGGAATAATACCCTCACAACAAAGGAAGCCAGAAGCTAGTGGAGTAACATCCTCAAAGTGTTGGGAGTAATGGTCCATCTGTTGGGTTCCAACAAAACTCTGACAAGTAAGGTTTGTAAAAGTAGATAAAAATGAGGGAGTTTACCAATGAGATCCACAGTAAAGGAACTTCTAAAAGGTGTATTTCAGGGGTACCTGGGTGGCTCAGTCAGTTAAGCATCTGCCTTCAGCTCAGTTCATGATCCCAGGGTCCTGGGATCGAGCCCCACATCGGGCTCCTTGCTCAGCAGGGGAGTCTGCTTCTCCCTCTCCCTCTGCCACTGCCCCTGCCTGTACTCTCACTCTCTCTGTCAAACAAACAAATAAACAAAAGGTGTGTTTCAGGGAAAAGGAAAAACATCCCAGAAGTCTCAAATGGGGGGCGCCTGGGTGGCTCAGTCAGTTAAGCGTCCGACTCTTGATTTTGGCTCAGGTCATGATCTCGGGGTCATGAGATCAAGACCTGTGTTGAGTTCCGTGGGTGGTGGGGAGTCTGCTTAAGAGTCTCTCTCTGCCCCTCCCCCCACTTGCACACACGCACTGTCCTCTCTCTGTCTCTCTCAAATAAATAAATAAATCTTTAAAAAAGAAAAAGACTGGAAATAAAGTGATGGAGGAAGATATATCAGACAAATCAACAAGGTAAGATAGTTCCCTTAATAGCTCACTGTACTGGGTTGAATAGTGCCTCCCCCAGATTCATGTCCAACCAGAACCTGTCAATGTGACCTTATTTGGAAAGAGGGTCTCTGCAGATGAAATGAAGTTAAGATGACATCATACTGGGTTAGAGTGGGCCGTAAATCCAATGTGACCGGTGTCCTTGTAAGATGA